AAATTTGTGAGAGGATCAAAGATAAGAGGTTACAGGGGCATAGCTACTTATAAAATAAAAAAAATAAAAATACAAATGAAGAAGCAGTCGAACCGGCGAAGGGGCTGAACTGGAAAAACAAGAAAAAGAAGAAGAGAAGAAAGGGCTTTTTAGTCTTTCTACCCGACGGACCGGTTTCGGATCGGTCGGGTTTTTTTCTCTTTGGGAAACGTGGACGCGACGATTCCAAATGAAAAGAAAACTCTCAAAGCCCTCCCTAGGGCTTTCTCTCTTGTCGTCTTGTGGTACGGTCTGCATCGCGCACAGAACCAGAAGGGAGAGATGGCGCTGACGATGGATCGAGAAACCGCGGATCGGATAAGAGCGGAGGCCAAGCGGTTCATGGAGGACTACTACCGGACGTTCGACACGAACCGGGCGGACTTGGTGAACCTGTACCGGGAAGAGTCGGTGCTGAGGTTCGAGGGCCGGGAGATGATCAAGGGCAAGGAGGCCATCGTCGCCAAGCTCACCTCCCTCCAGCAGTTCCGGTAACAAATCAGCCACATCGACTGCGTTCCCTTCGTCCCCACCAGCGGCGCGATCGCCCAGGTCATGGGCGACATGTGGCTAGACGGCAAGCAGGACGCCCTCTTTTTCGGCCAGGTCTCTCTCCCTCTCTCTCTCTCTCTCTCTCTCTCTCTCTCTCTCTCTCTCTCTCTCTCTCTCTCTCTCTCTCTCTCTCTCGGTTGACGGAGGATCCATTTATTATTTTCTATCTAATTCTTCTTTTTGGGCGTCGAAGGAGGATGGGTTTGGATGAGATGGGCATTTTTGTTGATTGAAAAGCACCACCTGGGGAGATCCCTTCGATCATATCATCGTAGTTAGCATGAGTATCCGTTCATTCATAATAAGATTTATCTTAGCGAACCGAATGGTTGTTGCACAGTCTAGCAAGATGTTTCTGATGCAGAAGGGTTCGTGATATCTCATTAGAAAGTACTTGAATGAGATTAAGATATGACCTTTCGGCTACTTCGCCACGTTCTTCACATTGTTGCTGCTTGATGCCTCTGTGCGTGTGTGTGGTGCATTGCATTTTGATGATACGACGCCAACTGTACCCCGTGCACGTCTCAAGTTTGTCTAGTTATTTCTTCTGCTTCCTCTTCGCTCCCGCTCTTCTTCTTCTTCGTTTGCCTAACGCTCTGCTGTGATTCTGCCCCGCAGTCGTTCCATTTGGATCCAACACCACAAGGAAGCTTTTATATAAAACTCGAAAATTGGTTGACCGTCGATCGGAGTAGTCAGAGGATGCTTTTCTAGGCTTTACAGAGGCCGGGAGTTTCATTCCGTTTTTTTCTCTCTTTCTTTCAATAGAACTTGCTGTGGTACCGTTTGAAACAGATTTCTATGTGGTTTGGTAAGTTAGAACTGGGCTTTGTCTAAGTGGAGTTCTTGTTTGAATTCGAGTCTGCCTTATGTCAGATTGCTATTTCTCGTTTGAATTTTATATTCCGCTTATCTTCGGTGCTTTGATACGACACGGCCTTACATTTATCCTCGCTATCCAATGTCACTTTGATTGGACTGCTTGCTGTTTTAAATCCTGGAGAGCTGGATTTGATTCGTTTGAATTTGCCGCTGGCCAACCTCGCGTCCTCGACTTGGGGTCGGCAGGGGCAGGCGGCCCTCGCCAAGGTCGCGCAACCTCGGGCGAGGGCCGCCGGTGGCCTGAGCCCTTCTCCGTGCTATGGGATATGGGACCCGCAATATTCACATCGAAGGGATATGGGACTCGCAGTAACAAGGTGAGATGCTTAACCATGCGAGTTGCTTTATCCTGAAGCACTAGCCCAAGTGCGTGAAGTAAGGGCCAAAATGGTGAGGGAGATCATCAAGAAGGCAATGGCAATATGGATGCAGTTGATGTGGAAGGTGGTGAGGCCTGAAGATTTGAAGCTCGGAGATCCTATCTACAGATATGGATTGTATGGCTTATGCAGCCATCGGGGTGAGCTCTCATTCACCTTGTTGTTGCATTATGTATTTTTAAAAAAAATTAGACCAATTTTTCTGAAAAGAGTGTACCCAAAATGGCTATTAAGTTCGAGCCACACACATTTTAGAATGCAACATTGGAAGGACAAGTTGACTTGATCTATGCATAGTAAACATTGGGGATGGGCGGAGTCGGTAAGACAACTCTTGCCAAACTCAGTCACTATCAAATTTCCTCCCAATTCAATTGTTGTAGTTTCCTTGCAGATATTGGAGTTGCTACGAAACAACATGGAGGTGTTTGGTTTTTGCAAAGCAAGTTGATGTGCGATATCATAAAGCGAGAATACGAGGTTCATCATGTTGCGAAAGGATTCAATATTTTTTTTAAAGAGATCACCGTATACGAAAGTCCTTGCTTGATGATAAGGAGGTACAGTCGCATCTCCACAAAATTGTTGGAGAAAAGCTTGATTGGTTTGGTTATGGAATTGCAACGCTAGTGTCAAATCTATTCTTAGTCCATATCTCGAGATTAAAATTTTAATCTATTTAGGTACACCCCTAAACATGTATAACTTTTCTAATAGAGTCCCCCCGTTTCAAATTTGGTTAATTAGAGATGACTCACATATCGGAACTTGCTAGAGTTTGACGTGGAAAAATTTGTTTCTATAATGTGGACTGTCAGCTCATGCCTGGGATTAAAAGTCCTAAAAATGAATACCATAAGCAAAACTTGAGTAGTCTGATTTCTCAACATGAATATTGCCCTCGAGCTTTACGCATCCGATTTTGTCTGGTCAACATAGAGCCAAGCACACTTTTGGATCTGACGTGCCGGGCTCTGTATTCTCATTCATATCTACCCCTAAGTCGTGAACTTTGTCTCACAGATTCTCTAGACTTTATGTCCAGTTGATCAATTACACCAAAGAAAATTAACAGTCAATTATTGTTCTGTTATTGGCACGTTAGTGTTGAGACACACCCTTTTTCTTCTGAAGCTATCGGCAAGAGCAGACCGAGCCTTTTCAAACTTAAGAAGAACAGAATACCTGTTATTGCCTACAAAGGAAAATGGATTGCTGAGAGAAAACTACAAAGCTTGGCACATAAAATCAAAACCAATGTAATAATCAAATAAAATAGGAGAAGAAGATAAGACTTATGACACCAAATGCCTCTTCAATCTCCCAAGGGAAGCCTCTGTTGGAAGCCACATAAAATTCACATTGCTATAAGGTCACAAATAAGAGAATGGCATCGCTCAAAGTTCGAAGAAGAACGTCACCTGGTAAAGTTTACTGCATTCTGAGCAATGCTGAAGTATATTCTTGGTTTTTTCCAGGGCCACATGCAATGAGCACAAAGCCTAAATTCGAAAGTTGCTTCTAGGCCTTGCAGTTTCTAATTTTGGGAAAATTTTCATACTTTGTAGTAAATTGCAGAGAGAGTCCAACGCATTTCTCCATGTCACTGGAAAATCGCATTTTGTCAGATGAGCCACCAAACTTTAATTGTAGACAAAATAATCGATTTATCACGGTCCAGTGCTAAAAGAGGGCACTATAAGCTGATTTTTGTCAAATTTGTTAGCAATATTAAAATATTTAGATATCTCTTAAAGATATTTAAGATGTTTCCCATGATTTTCTATATCTATTTTGATTATGCATATCAGATTTGATTCTTTTGATTTCCTCTATCTAAGCATATAAATAGGCTCTCCATGCACTCTTTTCAATATATTAAATTATACAGAAATTTCCCATATCTTATCTTCCACATTATTCTTAACTAAATTATTGACAATTTCAGAGTTACAATTCAGATAGTAAACAACACTCTTCATAACTAGCGGCTTCTAAAACTAGAACAAATCTTCAACCAGAACAAATCTTCAACCATAGTATAAAATTTACAAAACAGGCATGATAGTGCTCATTTTAACTTACTAATCAGTATCACCAAAAAACCATGGTAACAAGTACAAAACCTACCCTGCTGTGTTGTGCCAACAAAAGAAACAACTAAATTTTTTTCGAAAGAAAGAAGTGGTATTTTAGATGGTTGAGAAAGTATCAGTACAAGAATACTGGCTCTAGCACAATATTGACTAGTTCGCTTCTAGAATAAAGATCACCTTAGAAATCAATTCTTTTGGCAAATTTTGTGCTTAAATAGTCCATTCATACCTTGGCATCGCTAGCTGCAAAATAACTTTCTTCAACTTCAACAACGTCCATAGGTCTTGTTAACGTAGAAAACTCCTAAGCAAGTTTCTACAATCTACCACAGAAAAAAACAATGGAGCAATTCCATCAGCAGAAAAGAAACGAACTTCTTCAGTTTTAACATTTGAAAGATAACACAGCTACTGAATTCCGAGACAGCTAAGAAATTTGTAAGAATCAATGATAACAGGCTATAGGGCATAGCTACTATAAAATAAAAAAATAAAAAAAATGAAGAAGTAGTCGAACAGGCGAAGGGGTTGAACCGAAAAAAGAAAAAAAGGACTTTTTAGTCTTTCTACCTGATAGACCGGTTTCGAGTCGGTCGAGTTTTTTTTTTGTTAATACCACGAAAAATCTTAAACTGGTACATTTATAACATATTTACCAAAAATTAATTTTTTGATCACAAAAAACCCAAAACTGGTACATTGTAACAAATTTACCATCCGTTAATTTCTGTTAAATTAGATTAATATCACAAAAAATCACAAACTGGTATACCTATGACAAATGGATGATAAATCCCAAATCGGTACACCCATTAACTGCCATGTGTCATCCAACTCAACAATTTAACAGTAAAATTTAACGAAAACTAACGGAAGGTAAATTTATCGCATTTGTATCAGTTTGAGATTTTTGCTAGTCAAAAAATTAATTTTGGATAAATTTTGTCACGTATGGAAAGTTTTTCGTGGTGTTAATTTTTTTTTTGGGAAATCCAAATAAAAAGAAAACTATCAAATCCCCTAGGGCTTTCTCTCTTGTTGTCTTGTGGTTACCGTCTGCATCGCGCACGGAACCAGAAGGGAGAGATGGCGATGCTGGATCGAGAAACCCTGGATCGGATAAGAGCGGAGGCCAAGGGGTTCGTGGAGAACTACTACCGGACGTTCGACGCGAACCGGTCGGACTTGGTGAACCTATACCGGGAAGAATCGGTGCTGAACTTCGAGGGCCGGGAGAAGATCAAGGGCAAGGAGGCTATCTTCGCCAAACTCACCTCCCTTCAGCAGTGCCAGTACCAAATCAGCAAGATCGACTGCGCTCCCCACATCCCCACCCGCGGCGCGCTCGTCTTGGTCAATGGCTTCATGTGGCTAGACGGCAAGCAGGACGTCCTCATTTTCAGCCAGGTCTCTCTCTCTCTCGGTTGAAGGAGGATCCATTTATTATTTTCTATCTAATTCTTCTTTTTGAGCGTCGAAGTACGGGTTTGGATGAGATGGGCATTTTTGTTGATTGAATATCACCTCAGGTGTTACCTGTCACTTGGAATTTGCCAGATCCCCTCCTTGTAAACTTGCACAGTCTAGCAAGATGTTTCTGATGCAAAAGGGTTCGTCATATCTTATTAGGAAGTATTGAATGAGATTAAGATATGACCTTTCGGGTACTTCGCCACGTTCTTCACATTGTTGCTTGATGCCTCAGGTGTGTGTGTGTGAGGTGTATTGCATTTTGATGGTACGACCCGCGTGTACCCGTGCACATCTCAAGTTTGTCTAGTTATTTCTTCTTCTACTTCTCCTTCGCCCCCGCTCTTCGTTTGCCTAGCGCTCTGCTGTGATTCTGCCCTCAGTCGTTCTTTTTGAACCCAACACCAGAAGGAAGCTTTTATGTAACAGCCAAAAATTGGAAGACCTTCAATCGGAGACAGAAGAGGCATTTTCTCTAGGCTTTACAGAGGCCGGGAGTTTCAGTCTTTTTTCCTTCAGTAAAACTTATTGCAGAACCATTTGAAACAGATTTCTATGTGGTTTTGTAAGTTAGAACCGAGCTTGTCTTAGTGGAGTTCATGCTCGAATTGAGTCTGCCTATGTCAGATTTCTATTTCTTGTTCAAGTTTTATATTCCGGTTCTCCTTGGTGCTTGATATGATACGGCCTTACATTTATCCTTGCTATCCGGACTCACTTGGATTGGACTGCTTTGCTGTTTTAAATCCTAGAGAGCTGGATTTGATTCGCTTGAATTTGCCGCTGGCCATCCTTGCATCCTTGACTTGGGGTTGGCACGGCCGCCAAGGTCGCACGACCACAGGCGAGGGCCGCCGGTGGTCTGAGCTGTTCGCCGGGTTTTGGTATATGGGACCCGCAATATTCACATCGAAGGGATATGAGACTTGTGGTAACAAGGTCAGATGCTTAACCCATCTCAGTTGCTTTATCCTGAAGCACTAGTCCATGTGCGTGAAGTAAGGGCCAAAATGGTGAGGGAGATCATCAAGAAGGTAATGGCAATAAGGATGCAGTTGTTGTGGTAGGTGGTGAGGCCTGAAGATTTGAAGCTCGGAGATCCTATCTACAGATATGGATTGTATGGCTTATGCAGCCATCAGGGTGAGCTCTCATTCACCTTGTAGTTGCACTTGTATTTAAAAAAAAAATCAGAGCAATTTTTCTGAAAAGAGTGTACGCAATCCGTATTTGTCATGGCGTGTTCTCTTTTCACACTGGTTGGATTCTATTTTCACATGTGTGGGGTTCAATATAATGAAAGAGGACCATGAACACCATGATGATGTTCTTTCAATATCACTATATTAAGAACAAAAATATGCCGGGTCCATGTCTTGCAAAAGGGCTATTAAGTTCGAGCCACACACATTTCAGAATGCAACATTCGAAAGGACGAGTTGCCCTGATGTATGCATAGTAAATATTGGGGATGGGCGGAGTCGGTAAGACAACTCTTGCCAAGCTCATTTACGAGCAAATTTCCTCTCCATTCGACTGTTGTAGTTTCCTTGCAGATATTGGAGTAGTTACGAAACAACATGGAGGTGTTTGGTTTTTGCAAAGCAAGTTGATGTGCGATATCCTAAAGCAAGACTAAGGGGTTGATTATGTTACGAAAGGATTCAGTTTATTTTTTTAAAAAGATATAACCGAATATGAAAGTCCTAATTGTTCTTGATGATGCGGATGATGCGGAGGTACGGTCGCATCTTCACAAAAATTGTTGGAGAAAAGCTTGATTGGTTTGCTGATGGAATTAGGATAATTGCAACATTAGTATCAAATCTATTCTTCCAAAGTCCATATCTCGAGATTTGGCTCATGTTTACGGCATCAATATGATGAAATGATCAAGCCCTTGAGCATTTTCAGAAAGGATGCACTGCGAAGAAATCTGCCAATTCTTAGTTTTGTTGAATCTGCAAAAGATATAATCGACTCTGAGAAGGATGTTATCTTGTCCTGGGTGGTTGAATGTGTCGAATCTGAAGCTCATGTGGCCATTGGAAGCGGCAGACGAGGAGAAGATCCCCTTCTCCACGATCTCGTCGGTGGTGGAGGACCGGCTTGTCTTGAGGAGCGACGAGATTGATTCCACCATGTCGGGAATTCCGGCAACTCGTTGTGCATTCCGTTTCTTCCCAGCAAGTTTCAATAGTACTTTCGCAGACAAACCACCTGATCTCCTCCTCCCCCGGGTTCTTCCAATTCAGCATCTTGACGTGCTGCTCGATCACTCATATGTTGGTCCTGATCTTGCAGAGGGTGTCATCGGAGAACCGGCTGTCCATTGCGAACTGGCAGAGGATCCTCAACCCAACGATATGCTCGTCTGAAGAGTTGGAGTTGAGCAGCTCCGTCAAGAACGTGATCATGTCCATTCCCAACCCATCAAAGGTGCTCCCATTGACGCATCGTGAGTAGGAGTCATAGAAGAAGCGCCGGCTGAAGGCGAGGGCTCGGTGACCCTCACCGGTCATGATAAGAAAAAAGCAAAGAAGGAAAAGAGAAAGAAAAGGAAAAATAAAATAAAAAGATTAATTAAAAATTATCCATGTCAGTACCGATCGTGCTAAGTAGGACAACCAACATCCACATCAGTGGTTTTCGATCAAAATTGGCAAGATAGACTCAATTGAAAAAACTGAAAAATGTTTAAGACTCAATTGTCACAATTAAAAGATTAAGAACTGAATTAATAAAAGTACAATAAGTTTATAACTTTTTTGATAATTTTTCGAATATGATGTGACTCAAATAAAGCTAAGGAGGCTCAAGGGTCTAGACAGTACTTATTGATTTGAACAAAAGAGAGTGACTAAATTTGAATAAGTTAAGTAACTTATTAAAGAGATTTTTCGTAGAGAAGCTTTTGTGACAAGTTTGATCCAAAGAAACGCAAGGAATAAATGGAATATTGAATCGAATGGATACCATTTTAGGCTGTAATAAAAAACAATAATGTGTGTCTATATATATGTATGTATGTATATGCAAGATACGGACAAAGAAAATTATTATGAGGTTTTGTGGGACCACTGCCAACTATTCTAAAAGCTTAAGTTCGGTTTGTTTTTTCCTTCAATAAAACTTGTTGTGGTACCGTTTGAAACAGATTTCTATATGGTTTTGTAAGTTAGAACCGGGCTTATCTAAGTGGTGTTCATGTTCGAATTGAGTCTACCTATGTCAGATTGCTATTTCTTGTTCAAGTTTTGTATTCTGGTTCTCCTTGGTGCTTGATATGATAAGGGCCTTACATTCATCCTCTCTGTCCGAATTCACTTGGATTGGAGTGCTTTGCCGTTTTAAATCCTGGAGAGCTGGATTTGATTTGCTTGAATTTGCCACCGGCCAACCTCGCGTCCTTTACTTGGGGTCGGCAGGGGCAGGCGGCCCTCAGCATTCCTAGTTTGCGCCTCAACTAATTTTCGACCGCTGATGAAAGTAAATGGAAGATATGGAATTAATAATGGAGACGAGCTATGACAGCATCGTGGGGTGATAGCGAACCCTCTTCCTGATCGGGCAACAACAAGACTAGCTTCGTTCGACCACAACCAATTTGACAACTGATTGGCCGAGATTACAATCACCACGTCCGCACGTCCCTGGGATTTCGTGAGACCACTGCTAATAGTTGTAAAAGCTTAAGCTTGGTAGATGAAGACTAGGTTTAATATTTAAATATTCTATCAGTCCCCATCACGCTTGGTCTGGTCTTTTTGCAGTACTAAGCATTAACTTATTTAATTGTGGGGGCATATAAAGTCTGAAAAGTTTTGAATTCAGGACCTCCTGTTTTGATATTATGTGAAATTTCGTGAGATCACTCTCTACTGTTCTGAAAACTTAAACTTGATAAATAAAGACGTGATTTATATATTCTGTCAGTCTCCACGTGCATATTGAATAGTCTGTTATCAATTTCTGTTTCCGTGATAATGTCGCTCTCGTTAATCAAATGTTTTTAGCACGAAATCACATGTACCAAACAAGCGCGGGGAAAGGCAATCTTTTCATACTCTTTTTGCACGGCATGTCCATTTGTTTGATAATTAGCAGTAACTCTTGTGCGAGAAACCATAACGGGTGAAGCACAAGCATGTTTAGAGAGACGACGAAATGGTTAGATGAAAAGGTCTCATAAATGTCTTCCTAATTTGCATTAAAAATGGCGGTTTCCGCCGTCAACCTACTTCACCTACCTACGACCGCCCTATCTATTTCTCTCAATGTAAAGTCACACTCCATCTAACCATGGAAGCTATAATTGTACCGTATTTGTGCAGTCCGCACCGTACCTAAGAAAAATCGTCAATCAACTCACGTATTCATCAACCACTGACCTTTCCCCATACGGGAAAGGAGGGGTGGGGAGGGGTGGGGAATTCAAATTCCCACCTTCTAAAAAAAAATTAGGAATAGAGAAGTTTAATTTTAAGTGTGGATTTCGATTTTCACGCTCTGTAAATAGGTAGGATAAAAATCTGAGAGTGAGAATATGACACAACAAAAAAAAAACACTTGCTTATTTGTCGGCAATCCTCTTTCTCCCCAAAAAAAACCCTCCATAAAAAAAAACTTCGCCTACAATCTCTCAACTTTTCTTTTTTAGATCTTGATTTCCTTTTTTTTCTCTTCCGATCTAATCTAGGAATTATTTTTCGCCTTGTTTAGTGTTTTCTTTCACTTGTTATTGTTGCTTTTCTTCGTTCGTCGTGGTGAATAAATTTGCTTGTAGCTGAAAATTTTGTGAGAATGTCATTACCAGTCTAGCCAGCAGGATGCTTGAAATGTGATTCTATGACTTCTCCGAGTTTTGGTGGAAGCTATTATGTTCCGATTAAGGTGTATAACTAAATCTATGAGCTTTTCTCTCTCAATCTAAATTTATATCTTGCAGTCTTTTAAAGTCGTTCGATTGGTGGTGGTTTAACATGTGGTTGATGTTGTTGTTTCCACATGGTGATGGTGTTGAAAATGCCGAATCTAGGTGCGCACTACAAGCCTAGTTTCTCGAGGGGAAGATCTTGGTGTGTGCCCATTACTGATGGTTCCGGTGATCTATTGCCGATTGTTTTTTGATATCATGACAGATCTTATCTTTTGGGATAAGAGTGTGCTTATAACTGCAAACTAGAATATTTTGTTTTCTAGATTTTGTTTTGTTTTGCAGCTTGGCTCTTTCTATGTTTCTCTCATGTTTGATTATGACAAATGAATAAAAAAAAATTTGACCCAAAAATAAAAACTCACACATACCAAGTTTCATCTTTCAAATCTTGTATGGCTTTCAATTAATCAAACTATTTCTCTTGGTTTAGAACCAGATGGGTCATACGGATGACACGGTTCTAGAGATCTGGTTTTTATGGTGATGGCGTATGGAATAAAAATTCATCATAAAATCAGAGAAGTGTATGAATTAGGGTTTATATGTAGCTTAAATACTTTGTCAGTTTGATTTCTTATCGATACAATCGATCATATGGCCGTGGCTCATCGTTAAATTACATGTTTTACATTGAATGTTCAGAAAGAAATCCCTTTGTTATTAGGGTGGATCAACTTCAACATCGTATCATATGAAGCATATCGACTAGTCCAATGGTGCATTAGTCAAGCTAAATGATCCATAAGAGTATATAACTCAGATTCAACTCCCTCTCATCACGTTATAATCATAGATTCTCAATGTCTATACAACTTGAATTAAAGTTTAATTTAGCTAGTTGATGGGAAATGAAAAAGTGTGATGATGGCGCTTCATTTGGTTGCGCTAACCTTCTCAGGTCCCAAGGGTATGAACTCGATAGTGGAAGGTGCACATAGAATGGTTAACACTGTCCTTCCACGATCTTATGGGTACCATGTAAGCATTTCAATGCAAAAAGTGAAGACTTTTTTGGGCAGAATATCGTTAATCATAGTCTGGCTCGAATGACGCATGACAAGTAAGCCTAGGTACTTTGTGAGCAAACTATCTATTAACTTCTTATGACTACGTATAGTCTGTCACACTGTTTAGCAGACCAAATTTGTATATCAATCTTGATATAGCTGCGATCCAAAAAGAAAATAGCAAGAAAGAGAAGACTTTTGCAATATATGTGAACAAATTACCAAAAAAGGAAAACATAAAACTGGAGACAATCAAAACGTACGGTTTGGTCGATGCATACAGGGTCCGGAGAGGATACGAAGAGATATACACGGTGGAATCGGACCCAATATCCACGATTGCTCCTCTCTTCTCCTTCAACATTCCATCGATCACTCTCTTCATCACCCACACCCCTGCATTCACGTTCACTCTCAACATGCTCTCCATCAACTCTCGATACACCTTGTGCAAGTATTTTGGGTAGGGATAAGCCACCCTTACATTTGTTGCGACCTTTCCAGAGGTGAACAACCAAGAGAAACTAATGGAACACAAAGAAGAAACTTAGTGTGAAAGCTTATACTAATCGCAACTTTGGGGTTTAATTTAATCAATTAAACATGCAAGTTAATTCATCTAAGAGTCTTTACCAATCTATTATGGGTCGATTAGAAGCTGAATTAAAATGTCCCGCGAATTAGAGATTTCATGGATTCGGGGGCTTAATTACGCTAGATATATCAAACACCATTTTGGTACATTTTCTCTTTATTTCGAAAATGTTTTACAAGCAGTCTTGGTCGATTTTAATTTTAGTCACAACGAGCGATAAGTGATCATGCGGGTGCACAAACAAGAATATAACACTCAATAATCAAAGTAGTAGACTAATTGTGAAAGGATTTGAAGAACCTTGGTGCACTAAGCAAGCTAAAGGCTCCATTATGTCCAATACGTTCAAGTATTTTGCAAAATGCTAATTAAAGGCCAAACAATGTACGCATGACCTAGACGTGATTTCTAAATGCAAGTATGCAAGGCTAATTAATTCTCTTTGATTTTTTCCTTGTTTAACATGAATATGATTTAGTTCAAATGTTATGACTATATGAGTTATAAATAAACGAGCATTGATGAACTAGAAATCTAAATAACATGTATGCTGTGTTAATTACATAAATGCAACCTATATGCAACTCTAATTATATGAAATACGATCAATTATGGACTAATCCTGTTATATAAACTATGTGAGTGATTTGTATTTTCTTTTCTTATAGAAGTAAATACTAAGTTCTAGGACACCTATACACAACTTAAATGACGTTATTAAGGAATGATGACCTAATGATGCAATGCATGACCCGGGCATGATTTTTAAACATAATTACTAAATAACATGCAATGGGATAAGGATACCATAAGTGTCATAACTGTCGTATGGCGTTTACTTGAGTGATATAACTTTTTTTTCGACCATTAAAGTGTTATAATTTCTAAAAAAAACGTTCACTCAAGTGCCATAACTTTCAATCGATGACCTAAGTGTCAAATTTTTTTAAAAACGTTTACCCAAGTGTTGGAAATCCGATGTGGCATAACGCTTGTGTTAAACATTTTTAAAAATTATGACACTCAAATGATTGATTGAAAATTTATTTGGCACTTAAGTGATCGAAAAAAGAGTCGTGTTTAGGTGAGGATTGGGCGACAACAACTCGTCGAGAACCTGCGAGAAAACTCGCCGGAGTTGGAAATAGCACACGGAAGCAGGTGCTTGTGAAGGCTGATTTGGCGTGGCAGGAGGCGACGGTGAAGGGTCCGACGTCGTTGCAAGGCTTGATGGATTTGCATGCTGGGCAAACTATTGGCGGCTCTATTTGCAACTCTGGGATTGCAGGGCTGACGCCCAGGTTGTTGCAGCGGGCTGGAGACATGGCCAAGTGTCGGGTAGCAGCGTTGAAGATGATGCAGCTCCGGCATGGTGGTGGCAGCGTGAGGTTGAGCAGCGGCAAGTCGCGACGGCAAGGCCGATTTTGTGAAGAACAGCTGCGGGCCAAAGGGAGAGCTGTTCTTTCTCTCTTCTAACCGTGTATTGTAGTCTTCTCCCTGTTGTATCAACTCCTTTTAATTGTGAGAAAAGTGAGCTTATATAGACAATGATTAGGGCTTTCTTTTGATATGGAATTTCCTAATTAAAATCAAAAGCATATCCCATATATATATGTATTCAAGATTAGGAAATTGTTGAGACCTAAATTTTGACTAATTATTTAGGAATTTATTGCGTAGAAAATTAGGATTGACCCCGACCCTTAGCAAAAATATTTTTCATTAAGCTGCATGTAGTTCTTAGGAGCATATTTTATTAATAAATAAGTTCATAAAATAGCATTAAAATTCGACCAGATTAAGGTTTTGAGCTTAATTGAAATATCTGGACCGAGCCCATAAGTGAGTAAAATTCAGCCAAGCCCATGCACACTTGGACTGGCCGAAATTCACTGGAGAGGGGGGGTCTAATTTAGTGAATTTAGCCCATAAGAGCTTTAATCAGTGAAAGGCCTTAGGTTATTAGAGTCCATTATTTAACAAGGCTGGAATTAAGCTCGTGAAATTGAGATTAGACCTAGGTTACCACAATATAAACATGTTTAGGTCTTCAATTTTAGAGGTCGGCAACTTTAGAAAGAACACATTAAAAAACACACATAGAGAGAGAGAGAGAGAGAGAGAGAGAGAGAGAGAGAGAGAGAGAGAGAGAGAGAGAGAGAGAGAGAGAGAGAGAGAGAGAGAGAGAGAGAGAGAGAGAGAGAGAGGAGTTCCTTGGCCAGGACCCCCTATGGCTGAGCCACCCTCTGCCGAGAGCTGACCGAGCTGCCCCCCTTGGCAGCAAACCTCACCGGTGCTGCTGTTGCCTCTCATTGTCGAGCTGCGAGATGATGAAGCACCGCGATGAAGTCTGCTGAAGCTTTCTTCTAATTTCTGACTTTTAATACTTAGATATAGATGAGGTAAATGTAAGAAGTGCAAAATGTAATGTTCCGTTTTTTTGTATTTTTCCGCTTATATTAAACGAGGAAGCTCCATGAGTTCTCCTTACGTTGTCTATTTGAATGTGAATGTATGTTTTGAATGGTATTCTTTTCTTGGTACTTTATACTTTTTTAAAAATTTGCGTTACACACGCATTTTGACTTTTTTCTTAATGCTGAATGCTTGAGACCTTGAAAATAAATGCTTATACTAACTTTTAGATACACATTTTTTTTTCATTTTTTTGGAGTCTGGTTTTCTTATAAGTGAAATGCAAATAAGGGAAGACAAAAATGTAAGTGGACTTATTGATGGAAATCCAATCGATCACACAAAACCAAGAGTTTTTATAACCTAACACGTCAACTCCAAAAGAGTCACAATACAAATTTTACATTATATCTATCACCCTGAACTCTCATAACTAAAGCATGCACACTAGCCACACAGCATCAAAGGCGGTACCGTTCGAGAATTCTTGTGGTGCACCGCCATATTTGACCTAAAGATGGCGATCTTGCTCAAGCCCCTCCTTTCTCATCCATTTCATGTAGTGTTTGAAGCACCAAATGGTGATCGCATCTAGGGCATGCATCACGAACCCTTGCACTGCGTGTGACCAATAGGGGTTACACTGGCGCTCGTAACCAATCCACTTCACGCTTGCTCCGCTGAACATCTCAGAAGATGGTACGAGCATTGGGCGCCTCCTCAACATGGTCATCTTTGTAGCAATGAATAGGGGAACCTATAAGGAGAATTCAAGAATACATCGGTTTTTAGCTTCTTTTGCGTTGTATATGACTAGTACGTAAACTTAATTCAATGTGTAAAGTGAATCTTTTGACACGTGGCAAGAATTATTCTTACCCAGACTTTATACACAAATAATCTAAAGCTGCTTGGTAGCATTAATGTAACTTGCAAGCACCTTCGCTATACATAGCTATGTAAGGTAGCCTGCCCCCTAACGAGAGAATCATGAGGGTTTAATAATGTTAATTTCCTCTAAGTTTCACCCTTTCAAATGAATGCTTGGGATAACATGCAGAAACCATGTCTTTCTATCTAATTCGACTTAGATATATTCTATATGTGACTGTCGAACAAAATGTTGGTGTAATTAGCTAGGCTAAGTTGCGCATGGGAATGATTGCTGCTGTTACTATCATTGCTACTGTGAATTTATTAGGATGAGAATTACGAAAAGAACAAACAAGGAATGGAAGAACCTTGGACGGTGGAAGACTGAGGAGACAGAAAAGGGAAAAAAGAAAAATTGATTAATGAAAAACATTTACTTCCGAAAGTTACCAACCGCGGACTCAACATGTGGCTGATGTAGGTTGAAGACTTGATGACGAAAAGACAGATTGATGTATGACGAAGGTGATGGCCGTAGCACATTAGAAGTTGCAAGTGAACAAACACGAGAGAGAGAGAGAGAGAGAGAGAGAGAGAGAGAGAGAGAGAGAGAGAGAGAGAGAGAGGTGTAATAAGGGACGACTAGGTTGGGCAACTTTAATGAATAAGTAATGTCATCTCCATTAATTAGGTTGCAGATGTCAATTAATTCGGATGCATACTAATTCTTAATATGCCAAGAATCAGATATGAAGGGTGTCGCGACCGACCTCCCGCTTCTCTTCTTTTTTTTTTTCGTCATTGACATGTGAAAATGGGAGTTTCACCTGGTACGTGCTAAGTTTAGGTTTGAGACTTAACTCGTGCTCTCCCAAGCCCATACCATATCGCGACTTGGGATTTAAGTTTTTAACATGCAAGTGATTTATATCAAGGAGTCGCCACTAATTGATTTGAGGTGGGTCGATTAGAAACCCAAATAAGGTGATGGGAGAATCACCCTATTCCTGCGAACCAGAGATTAACTGAGTTCGGGGACTTGGTTACACTAGTTGGATAACTAATGCCATTTCGGTACCTTTTTACCCTATTCAATTTTTGAAAACATTTGTCAGGTAATTTAGATTGATTTTAGGACCTTTCTCCTGACATGTGAGGTGATCAAGCGAGTGCATAATCATAAACGATCAGCAGTCAAAATAGATATGCAGCCTTAGGTTCTAATCCTAACTAAGTCAGATGACATTCAAAACACAACAGTTTATGCAATTGTATTAAAAACATGCATAATAATACAACGGTAATAAAAATAACGTGCAAAATACTACCGCACAACCTCAGGCTAATCTAATTTACACAAGACAATAACATGCATAATAATACAACAATAAATTAAAATATTTACATATACCACATAATTTAAAGAAAAAGATCTTTTCTTTTTTAAAATCGAAAAAAAAAAAAATAATAATACGGAAGGAGAAAGAAAAGAAAAAAAAATAACATAAAATAAATAAAAATCGGGTCGGGTCGTGGATCCGGTCGGTCGGATCCTACCCGGGTCAACGGATCCAACCCAAGGCGTTGACCCAGGTCGGGTCAGTTGATCCGGATCGGGTCGAAATCGACTCGGGTCAACGGATTTGACCGGGGCGTTGACCTGGGTCTGGTCAGTTGATTCAGGTCGGTCGGAACCGACCCGGGTCAACGGATCTGACCTAGGGTGTTGACCCGGGACGAATTAGCTGATCCGGGTCGGGTCGACCCACGTGCGCAAACACGCTGGGACGCCAGCGGAGCCAAAATTGGCCTTTCGCCGGCCGACCTAGGCCGCCTCCGACCGAATACCACCACCAACGACCACCGCCGAGCCTCTTCAACCGGCCCACTCACTTGTCCGGCGTCCTGCTCGCTGGCCGGCGTCCAAAAACAAACCGGCCTCACTGAGGCACTTCAACAAACACTTGGCGTGCGTGACCAAAATAGAGACGTTTCGGCCTCCTTCGACGAACCAGTCGGTTTCGGCGGTTGCGGCTCACCTTCGACAGAGAGTATGGACCAGGACTGAAGACGGCATGGGCCGGGAATCGCGCGACACCGCCGGCTCGAGTCCCGGCCAATCCGTGCTAAAAAACAGGGGCGAACAGGGGACCCGAGAGGCTCATCGGTTGGCGGGGATTTTAGAGGCTCTCCGGCTGATCTGCGGGAGACGGGGAGGCTGCTGGCCTTCTTCTCACGACCTGTAGATCCTCAGTATACTCTTTTTCTCTCTTTTCTCTCTCTGTTTCTCTCGGTGCTCTGTTTTCTCTCTCTTCTCTCTAAAAAATGGCCGACTGGGCCCCTCTCTCTCTGTAGCTATATATAGCCGACGACGACGGTGTCCCCCTACTCCGTTACGTTTGCAATGACGACGGTCTGCACCGGCTTACTCTGGCCCGCGACTTTCGCGGCCATTTAGGCCGGTGCAGGGGGGGCCGATTTTGTTGAGTGCAGAGAGACAGGAGGAGGAGCGGAAAAATGGGGAGAGACGGCCGGGTTTCCAGGGAAGACGGGACTGGCAATTAATGCCAGTCCCGTTGGCGTGCTCCCCCGGTCCTGCTTTGGCTGGATAAGGACGGCACGGAGCTGCGCCGCCGTGCGTCACCCTGCGGCCAGAACAGGGGCGAACAGGGGAGGCGAAAGGGACCGTTGGCAGGGGAGAAGGAAGGAGAAGGGAAGCTGGGCCGGGCTGGGCCCAGCCGCGCGGAGGGGGAAGAAAAGGAGAAAAAAGAGAAAAAAAAGAAAAGAAAAGAAAAGGGCCTGGGTCCGCGGAGGGGAGAAAAAGAAAAGGAAAAGGGCCCGGGCCCGGGGGGGAAGGAAGGAAAAAGAAAAGGGCCGGGTCGGCCCAGCCCCGACCTGGCCTGACTCGAATTTTTTTTTTAATTAAATTTTTTTTACTCTAATAGACCCTATTAATATAAATGTGCTTAATTTCTATATGCAATGCATTTAAATAGAAATATTTTTTGTTTTAGGAATTAAAGAAAATTAACTCCTAAATTTTGTGTAATTAATTTTGGGCAAATTAAAATAGGTGTCAACAAAGGGGAGACATGAGGATTTTTAATCTTGTGTTGGATTATACCAGCTAAGCTATCCTGACCCTTCTTCAAGCATTATCACCTAGATAACTTGGTTTGCTTGATATTATTAAAAATGCCCGGAAAACGGCTTTCGAGAACTATTCGATTGTGGCTGGTCATTGGTCAAGTACATGAATTTTGATGGGATCCATGTAAAATCTTACGGTCTTCAATTGTCTTTTCTCAAAAGAAGAGGAAGCTCGCTAGTTAGGTAGTGAATGTAAGGCTCATGAAATGCCTCAATATCCTATTAGACCGGATAAAATGCAACCCAAATTAATTTTGATGAATGATTCAAACATAAAATTGTTACTCTTTTTTTTAGCTAAACAGGAATTGGACGAGATTGGGAATAACCTCTTTAGCTGCTAAAATGTTCGATTTAAGGTACCAAGGAAGCACCAACTATTCATTGAGCAAGCCTGTTATCGCAGCCTCACCAAATGCGACTTGGAAAGCCCAGTATCAGCGATGCACCTAACCCTAGGTCTCTTCTTCATAGACTAACCAAGATTTCATGAGAGTGTGACTATACCGGGGAATATAAATTAGCCTTTTGACTCGTAAATCAAGTCTTGGACCACGGCCGATTGGCATAAGTTCATGGACTTTAATTTGATAGATAAGTGGACTATAGCAAGGTTGGTCATTTTGCTTACATTCATGTACTGAAAGGTTCAACGTGAACTAATATATATATATATATATATATATATATATATATATATATATATATATATATATATATAAAAGGGTTAATACTACGAAAAATCCTAAACTGGTACACTTATGACAAATGTACTCCAAACTTATTTTTTGACTACAAAAAATTCCAAATTGGTAACGAAAAATTTACCCCAAATTAAATTTTTGACCATCAAAAACCAAAAAATGGTACATTTGTAACAAATTTACCATCCGTTAGTTTCCGTTAAATTGGATTAATACAACGAAAAATCACAAACTGATACACTTGTGACAAACGGAGGGTAAAACCCTAAACTGATATACCCATCAACTGTCACATATCATTTAACTCAATAATTCGACGGTAAAATTTAATGAAAACTAATGAAAGGTAAATTTGTCACAAGTGTATCGGTTCCAGATTTTTCGTGATATTACCTCTATATAAAATAATATATAACACACAATTACCTGACATTGAATATCAACCCCACGCTCCTTGTACTCAAGAGCGACGCTCCTCGAGAACATTGCCACAAAACTGCGATCAACAAATGAAATGCAATTCTTACTCAGCCTATATAAAGAGCACACACGTTACTTGTGAAGAGAAATAATAAGAAAAAATAAAATTTTAAAAAATAAAATAAAATAAGAAAATTTTGATCCATTATTTTGTAAATAATTTGGTTAGCGCAAGAGGAAATTAATTAATTTAATTCTTTGTATTTATTTTGAATTTAAATTTAGACTGTAAGATATTCATTTGACTGCTTATCAATTATCTTGATTATAAAATTTTACGATTCTGTCCACGTATTGCTTGCAGTCGTAGTGTATTTCAAATATATAAATGAGTTTTTCATGAAAACTTTTATAAAAATTTGAAATGAAAGCGGCAATTGAATTTCATCGATAAATAGTATACACATGAAATTTGATGTCGAGTCGACGAAGAAAAGGTTTTACGTAATTTCTGCAATATTTGTACAATAGCCTAAAACAGATGAAACTTACGCTTTGGTTGATGCATACAAGGTCTGAAGTGGATACGAAGAAACATACACACTCGAACCAGATCCTATATTCAAGATCGCTCCTCTCTTCTTCAACATTCCATCGATCACTCCCTTCGTCACCCATACAGCTGCGTTCAAGTTCACCCTCAGCATGCTCTCCATCAACTCTCGACCCACCTCGTGAAAGTACCTCGCGTATGGATAAGCCATCCCCGCGTTGTTAACGAGCAACCCGACGTCGAGCCCTTCCGTCGCTCCCGTCATCGCCGCCGCTATAACCTCTCCGCTCAGCTTCGCAAAGTCGGCGATCACGGTCTTGACCTGGACAAAGCATGTCATGCATAAGCTATATCGTCCATCAGAGCATGCAACTGAAGCATGGCATACTTCTTATATGATGGACCTCGATAGTTGTGCCGTATCTCTCCCTCAGCTCGCTGGAGGTGGCTTCGAGTTTGCCGGGGTTCTGAACAACGAGTACGACGTTGAGGCCCTTGGAGGCGAGCTCGAAGACCAGGGCTTTCCCGATGCTGTCGGTGGCACCGGCGACGACGGCCCATGAGCTGTGGTCGCGCAAGTCCTTCGGCTTCCTCAGGAACGCGGCGTGCAACCATCGGCCGAAGGCGAGCAGGTTCTTGAAGAGTGAGATGAAGCTTGGTACGGTGGCCGTCGCGATCATGAAGTCCGCAAGTACCATTGCTTTGTATGGTGTGTAGCTGCACAGGGACTTCGTGATGGCAAGTGCTAACATCAACTTTTATAGATGTGTCTCTCACTCACCCTTCTCCACAGCTACGTGTCTTAATAACTCTCTCTCTTCTCACCGCGCGTCCGAAGATAGTTATGTACTCAAATCTTCCACGTGTAAAATTAATAGTAAGTGTGTAAATTATTTTATCGCAATGATCTATACCCATCCCCTTCCCTTTCTCTCTCTTCTTTTTGGACCTCTTGAAGCGTTTGAGTAATCTCGTTGGATCGGAGCAATTCCCGTTCTATGTCTGGTGGACATGGTACTAACCATGTTTGGGAGGAAAAATTATGATTTTTTTTTTTAAACTTAGTGTAATTGTGCCAATTCAGTTATAAATTTTTCTTTTTGACCAATTCAGTCCTAAACCTTTTGCATTTATGTCACTTCAGTCCATCCGGCTAATTTTAGCTGACCAATACTGACGTAGCCGGCTAACGCTGACGTGGACACTGAAATGAAAATTTTTTTAAAATTTTTTCGATTTATTTATTTATTTATTCTTTTCTTTGTTTTCTTTTTCCTTTTCTTCCCTACAGAGATCGCTAGCCTCGCCATGTCCTCGCCGGTTGCAGGTGAAGTTGACCTTGCCCACGGCTAGCGAGGCCATGGCAAGGCTGGCCTCACCTAGGCTCGTCGACCACTGTGGGTAAGAAAAGGAACAAAAAAAGACGAAAAGGAAAAACAAAAAGAAAAAGGAAAAAAATAAAAAAATATTTAAAAATTGCCACATCAGCGTCGGCTGGTGTCGACATTAGCGCTGGTCAGCTAAAATTGGCCGAATGGACTGAATTGACACAAATGCAAAAGATTTATGATTAAATTGGCACAAATATATTTAGGACTGAATTAGCATAATTGTAATACTTGAAGTTAATATTCTTTAACTGGGGGTTGCCGTGGAGATAAACCTAGCTATTGTTTGGGAACACTTGCCAATTTTGGCAAAGGAAGGGAGATATGATTAGGTGAGTGTTCTACATTTACTAAGCATGCACTTACTTGTCCTGTCGAAATTGTTTAGGAGATCGGCAGACATAGACACGTGAAAATCATTCATCACCCGCTCACCCAGGCTGGCTTCGCTCCATCTCGTCAAGCTCAAAAAGACAAAAATAACTCTCGATTTTGACATGGTGTATGTACGCAATCCTAAGTTAATTAGCATGTATGAATGAACAATGGGAAATTTAAATTCTAGGATTCTAATGTGACCTAATGAACTAGCCATTAATATGAGACTAAGAGTTGAATGATGCAACACCAACTCATCTTTTTTTCAGTGGCGAAATAGCAGGAAAGAAGCTCTCCTGCACAGGCGGAACGACGAGACGTTGCCGGTGCAGCGGAGGCTGTCGGCGTGTTTGATGCACTGGGATTGTGTTGGCACTGATGGAAACTTCATGGCAACAAAACCCATTTAGCAGAAGCAGTTGAATGCTAAGCACGAAACCACAAGAAAGGGAGAGATTTTTCTGGGTTATCCGCGCGTTCTTTCTGTGTTGAGTCTCCCGTGTACTGAGCGGAAGTGTGAACGTGTCAGAAATCATTTATGCCAAAAATATGATAATTTATTATGACATCACCAAAATTTTCAACGGCTTTTCCGAGCAAAATTAAAAGCTTTCATTGACCCTTGAGTATGAGTACAACTCGTAAAAAGCACGACACGCTCGAAACCCATGAGACAAACTCTATGTTATTCTCGAAATTAGGAAAATTATCCAAAAAATCATAAACCTATATATTGTGTTAATTTAATCCTAAATCTTTTGACCATTTGCCAATTAGTCCTAAACCTTTCAATTGTGTCAATTTAGTTCTACACATTTCAAATGGTTTGTCAATTTAGACCTTCTAGTCAAATAACCAAATAATAAGTTTATGACTAAATTGGTAAATCTTTAAAAAGTTTAGGACTAAATTGATACAGAGAAATGTTTTGGACTAAAATGACAAATCGTCAAAAAATTTAAGAATAAATTAGCGCAATTGAAAGGTTTAAGATTGATTTGATCGTCGTACAACTTTTTGGACAATCGTCCTCTCAAAATTTAATGTCACAATATAAAAGAGAGAAAAAATTTATAAGATCACAAGATAATTGAAATAATAAGGCCATTTCAGTAAGATAGGAATGGCATTTGGCTTTATATACGTTGCACAGTAGAATTTGTGGTCTTTTATGAGCATCATGTCTGTACGAATTCGTTCAGGTTGAAATCAGTGGAACAGCTCAGATCTGCGGCATCTCAATTCAGCGGAGAAAAATTACGAGGGTATTGAGTCATAGGGGCTCTTTGTAGGAAGACTGACAAGTGAAAGAGCAAAGGTTTACCGCATAGGATAGGCTCGAATGACGACAACTCATATAAGATGTGTGTCAAAAGGCGTATGGATGTCATGGCGATACGAAGACCAGCGGTTAGGTTGTCAGATCATCAATTGCAAAGCACCAAGGCTTCTACTTGCCATTATGGATGTCATCCAAAACGAGAAGCAACTCATTGCAGAAATGTCTCTTATCAAAAGGAAAAGACATTTTAAAAACCCTCTTTAATGATTCAAGCAGGTGTTTGAAACCCTCCGGACTTCGAATCAATAGGAATATGAGGAATATTTATTCAAAAAGTTCTAAATTAATTATACGACAGTCAATTCAGTTTTAAACTTTTTGATTATGCCAATTTAGTTCTAAATCTTTTGATAACTTACTAATTTAGTCCTAAACATTTTGATACTTGCCAATTTAGTCATAAACTTTAAAATTGTGTCAATTTAGTTTTAAATCTTTTGATAATTTATCAATTTAATCCTTTTGACCAATTTTGACCGAAATCACCAACGTGGAGGTCTAGTTAGCGCAAGTCATCCTATGTGGCACGATCATTGCTGACGCGAACAATTTTTGCAATTTTGTTTTAATTTTATGATTTATTTTCTTGTCTTTTTCCCTTTCTCCCTCCGCTGGCTAGCGTTGGGTCTCATCAATAGGTGAGGGCTGCCCTCGTCGGATCGACAAGGGCAACCCTCACCGACCTTCTGCCAGGATCGCCCTCGCCCGCCTAGGGGAGGGCGACCCTCGCCAGCCGACCCTCGCTTGAGGCTGGTGGAGGTTGCGGACCATCGCTAGGCCTCAGCGATGGTCGGCGGAGGGATAAAGAAAAATAGAAAATAAAAATAAGAAAAAAGAAAAGAAATTTAAAAAATTACAAAATTGTCAACATCATTGCCGACCGTGCTATGTAGGACAGCCAACAATGCTCCAAGACTTTGTGATGGCTGTTGCGATCAAGAAGTCCACAAGTACCATTGCAAGTGTTGTGCAGTTGCCCTTGGACTTTGTGATGGCAAGTGCTAACAGTTATAGACGTCTCTCTCACCTCATGTTCTCCGCAACTACTTGTCTTAATTACTCTATCTCCTCACCGCATGTCCGAAGATAGATTTGTACCCGAATCTTCCACATGTAAATTAACAGTGAGTGTATAAATTATTTTTTTACACTGATCTATACCCATCCCCTGTCCTTTGTCTCTCTTCTTTCTCTCTCTACCCACTCCGTTTCCGCAGCCACCAACTTATGAGATTTTGTGGAACTACTGTCATCTCTCGTAGAAGTTTAAGCTGTTGGATAAAGACGTGATTAAATATTAAAATATTCTATCATTCCCCCTCAGAACAGGTGGTTCTGAGTTTGAATCTTTCCAGGCCCCTATTTAGCTCCATAGTTAAATATGTCTATGCTTAGTACTAGGCAAAAAGACCAAACTAAACATGAGGGGGAGTGATAGAATATTTAAAAAACACACCTTAATCTAACAGTTTTAACTTTTAAAATATTTGGTAGTAATTTTACAAAATCTTATACAACTCACAGCCACACATCCGCTGCCCCCCACCTCCTTTAGGCTCTTTGGCCTCTTATAGCGTTTGAGTAATCTTGTTGGATCGGAGCAATTTCCCGTTCTAATTCTGGTGAACTTGGTAACGACCATGGCCTTCTTATTGACCTAGTTTCGGCTGAAGTTATTAATCCTTTAACCCGGGGGCTGCAATGGTGAGAAAACCTAGCTAATGTTTGGCAACAATTGCCAATATTGGCGAAGGACAGGAGAGTATTGTCCATTGACTAAAGCATGCATCTGTCCTGTCGATTCTCGAATTCGTTGTACGAGGTAGTGGGACATAGACATGTGTGGTTCATTCATGGACCGCTCAGCCAGGCTGGCTTCGCTCATCTCTTCAAACTCCGAAAACAAAAGCTGTGGCATCTTAGGAGGATCCAATAAGCTCTCCATTACATAAGACTAGTTTGGCTTCTAGTTATGCATATTATGATTAAGCTGTTGCCGACACCTAAATTTTAACTACCTGTTTAGCTATTCCTTACATAGAAAGAAACCCCGATCCCTAACAAAAAAAAAATCAATAATTGCATTTGCATATTTGTTAAATTCATAATGTGCATTGGACCGGTGGCGGATGGACTTAAAGAATTGGTTCCGAGCTTAAATTTGCCATCATGCAGACTGGTCCGATGAGCGGCATTGAAATCTTGATCAGCAAATTAATTGATAGCAAATCTAATAAGGCTCCGTTCATTACTAAAGGTAGCATGAAATCTCCTAGGAAAGTACCGGAGGCAATGATCGGACATATTCTGAAGTTAAATTAGTACTTCCGGCTATGAGTTACTAATTTTAACTCCCTATTTCTTATTTCATCAAGTTATTCCAGACCTGGTCTATAACATTTAATTTCACTATATATGTTCATTCTCCACACAATCATCCCATCATGCAGACAGTAAAGCACAACACAGTAAAAGCCATGTTTCGTGCTCATGAGGAACGCGAGAAGGCAAGCAAAAATGCAATTAGAGTACTGCAAGTCTCACATTCCTGCAAACCCACCATGCCAACAAACATAGTACAGGAATACGACCAGACGTCTGCAACGGCTCCAATGCAGTTCTTTTTTGTTTCTCTC